ATTAATTGCTCCATTTTCAGTTGAGGTTTATTTGTTTTGGTACCCAGGATGGAGCCCAGCGTCTCCAGCGTCCTAGGCAAGCGTTCTGCTGCTGAGCTAAATCCCCAGCCCCTAACTATTTTTTATTCATCTCAAGGCTGGGGCAGGGAGTACAACAGACTATCTGGTGTGGTGAAGGTGATTATTTTTTATTTTAGGGAAGGGTCTACAGGGTGTTCAGGGTCTCACTAGTAGATCGGACTCGTAGTGATCCTCCTGTTTACAGCCTCCCAAGAGCTGGGATTACAGGTCCGCACCACCATGCCCAGTCTCAATCGCTGTCTCAGCACGCCTCGGGGGTGGCCTGGCTCAGCAGGTGCGGGTATCCAACCCTGCTCCCTGCGCCTGCTTGCAGGCACTTTAATCTGCTGAGCTATTTGGCTGGTCCTTATATAAATGTTTAAACTACAAGTTTAGGCCAGTAAAGGCCCGGTTGCCACGAATGCCCTCAAAATGCTCCCCCTTGCTTCCAGTCCAGTGAAGGAAGTAATTTCAGCCTTTTTTTTTGTACTGGGGAATCGAACTCAGGACCTTGGGCTTGCCAGATGGGCACTTAAGCAGCTCTCCCCAGCCCTTCTTTCTGGTTTCTGACGCGGTTCTGAAGCCCTCTCTTGTGAAGGTCTGGAGTTGCACCATCGTGGCTCCCGCAATGTCCTGAAGTGATTCAAAACATTCCCTCCCAGGGGCATTCTCACTTTGGGGAGGAGCCCGAAGTCAGCCGGTGCTGGGCCCGGGGAGGACACAGCATCAGGTGTATGCAGGCCAGCCTTTCCACTGGAGCCCACTGGGCCTTGGCAGTCACTGAATTTGTGCTCACACGTTGTGAAGACCCTCAGGAAAGAGGACTTTCAGACCTGCTTCAGAAAGTGGCAAGACCCGTGGGATCAGTGTGCCTAGGGGGGAGGATGTGCGGGGGTGGGGGGGTATTCATGGCAATGGGAACCGGGGATTGAACTCAGGCCTTGCGCTTGCCAGGGAAGCGCTTATTCTACTGAGCCATCTCCCCAGCCATGTAATTAATTTTGACTTAAAATCCACCATATTGTTTAATCACATCTGATTCAAGAGGAGACTGGTGCATCCTGCTGTGCCAAAAATTAAGGAAGTGCTCCCAAGCCAAAATGGTGGGGCTGCTCGAGGAGGCAGAGGAACCAGGACTGAGCCCTCAGTGACCAAGCCAGAGTCACTTGAGCAACCAAGTAACCATATGGGACGCCCGAGTCCAGACTGATGCTTAGTGCGGACACCAGCTTAACACTGTACCACAGCCCGGAAACCCTTGGCCTACGCAGTCCTGCCTCAGCCTCCCAAGTAGTTGGGACTACAGGAGGCTGCCACTGTGCCCAGCTCTATGAGGCCACATTGATATAAGTGAGCAGGTACATGAGTAACTGGGAGAGAAGAAACAGAATTCCAGTTGGTGTGCAGAGGGCTAGCGGCACAGCTCAGCAGGTGTGGGGTGTGGGGTGCTGTTCAATCCCCAGCAGGGCAAAACTGCAAGTAGAAAGAGGGGCAGAAATCCATCATTTTCACAGCAATGCTTTCTGCAGGCACAACCCATGAATGGATGCTAGAATCAGTGGTGGAAATTTAGGGTCCTGTAAATTACCCAGGTTTGAACTTGCCATCCTCCTGCCTCAGCCTCCCAGGGCACTGGAACCACGTAGGACAGACTGTTTCAGGTGAGAAACTGAGGTGGGGGTGGGGAATGGGTCTCAGTCCACACCTGCAGGCTGCTGGGCTGGCTCTGGGGGACAGTGCTGAGCCAGGACCTGGTCCCCAGGTGCCTCTGGAGTGCAGCACCTGTCCTGAGCTCCCAAGGCCCTGTCCAGCTGCACTTCCTGTGTGCCTGGCTCTGGGCAACTGGGCTTTTGGAGGGGGCCACCTTCGTGGGCTCAAACCCTGCTGCCCACTGCAGCCTCCCCATCCCCAGTTCCCTCCAGCACATGCCACTTTGTGCCCCACCTGCTGCCAAAACTGCCCAGGTCTCCCCCACCTGGCCCTTCCCACTCAATATCCTCATTCTTTTTTTTGGCCCCAGCTGTGCCTGCTGGGCAGGTGCTCACCCCTGAGCTACTCTTGCTGCCCTTTGAGACGACAAGGTCTGGCCAAGTTCCCCACACTGGCCTTGCACATGCACTCCTGCCTCAGCCTTCTGAGTAGCTGAGATTACAGGGGTACACCTGTTGGCAGAGCTGTGGATTTCTCAGTGTTGGGCTGGTAACAAGCCTGGAAGGGCAGTCAGGGTGCAGGCTCAGCTTCCCCGCCAGGATCCTGATGACGACAGCCCTCACCTGGACCAGCCCCATACGCCTGTCCTGGGTCACATCCGGCTGACCTGGCTCCCGCAGGCTCCCCTGCCTTGGTGAGCATCTATTCCTCAGCTCCCTTCCTGCCAGGACCTGTGTGTAATCCCAGCTGTCCAGGAGGCTGAGGCAGGAGGAATGCAAGTTTGATCCAAGAGTGAGCAACCTAAGAGGCCGTGTCTTGAAAAAAAAAAAAAAAAAAAAAAAAAAGCCTTGTTCAGTCTCCTACACAAGCAATCAACCCAGAACGTGGATGTGCACAAAGCTTGCTGCTCTGGAGCCCCATAGGAGGGAGGCTCACTGTACGAACTGGAATCAGCCCACCAAGATGTAAATATTCTCACTGAGCCCCAGCGTGTGCCCACAGATCTGCCCCACTTAGTGTCGGGTAATTCCATTCTTCAAAAGTCCAACTGCGCCCCTCACAGATTCAAAAGCAAGCAGGGTGTCTTCAGTATCTCTCCAGCCCCTCACTGTCCTGTTTGTAAATTCTGACCCACAGTCCCACTAAGTCGCCCAGGCTGGGCTCCAATCGTGATCTTCCTGCCTTGGCCTCCCCAGTGCTGGGGGTGCAAGCATGCGCCACCGCCTCCGGCTACGATTTGTTTCTCAGGCTCCCGAATTCGTTCACTCTCATGCTCTCAGGAGCCATTCACACCTGAGGAGGAGCTGGGTAGGATTTAGGACCAACACCTGCCGAGAAGCTGGGACAGAAGCTCCTTGGAAGCCCAAGGTGTGGCAGATAGCGGCAACGACTGCAAGGGTCCCGCACCTGTCACAAGCTTTATTGTCCCGAGCACTGACTGGCCACACTTCCACAATTCCACTGGGGGGAGGGAGGGATGGGGGAGGGCAGGCCGCCCACGCGGCAGATGCTGCTGCTGGGGAAATGGCTTCCTGTGCCCCCGCTGCCCCGGGCCCGCTGTGGGGCCCTGGGCGGTGCACTGGCCTCAGCGCCCAGGAGGGGCGGTGCTAGGTGAGGCCACTAAGCGACTTCTAGATTGCTGTTAATAGACCGGCAAGCGAGCAATGCTGACGTTGGTGTGGGGGAGGGCAGGCAGGCGCAGGTGGGGCTGCACCTGAGTCCTGGTGCCGCTCATGGCACCACCTGGGTTGCTGCTGCTGCTGCTGCGGGCGCACCTGTGCCCTCACTCCCGGAGTCCCCAAGCCACAGAGCGCCCTGCAGGGCTCCACCTGCCGAGGACTTGGGACAAGCTCCTGCCGTCCCGGAGTTGCCTGTGTGCCCGGGTCCTGAGTCACCTTCTCACCCCAGGGAACGCAGTCCAGGTCGAGCCTGTCACCCTCGGGCCAGCGACTGCGGCTGTGGGAGGGGGGCATGGTGGGGGGCTCAAGGCCTAAGTCCCCTGCACCTCGGAGCCTGGCTGTCCCGGGCCCGGGCCGCAGGCGAGGGTGACTTGTACCGCTGTGTGGATGAGGCTTAGTCTGGGGGCCGCTGAGGACTGCAGGGGACCCTGGCTCTGTTCTGGTCCCGGTCCCGGGATCTGCAGCGGACCTGGGAAAGGAGGGAGGGGAAGGGGTACCGCCCACTTGGGCGACCCCAGTGCAGCTGGCTGCAGAGAAGGAGGCCCAGGCCAGGGTACAGTCCCTAGCAGGGTCCTCAGGCAGGCCGCCGTACCCCTCCCTGAGGAAGCCTCCAGGTCCAGCGGGGCTCTGGAAGGGCCGTGGCCCGCAGGGTGAGCTCATTACTGCAGCAGTCTCCAAAGCGACAGTCCTCGTCCCTGCCTCGAGGGGGCGCCGCCAAGCAGCCTGGCGGGGCTCTGGTGTGAACGGCAGCTCCACAGGGTCCCCGGGGTCAGTGCTTGTCCTAGGAGGACAAGGGTCTCATCAGCCTTGAGGGACGGTGAGCAGAGGGGAGAATGGGCATGTGCGGGGAGGGGACAGAAGGTGCAAAGGCCCCCGGGGTAGGGGGCTGGGTGTGTCCGGAGCCCCCGTGTTCTATCTTGGCCATCTTTGAGCAGAAAGGCTGCTGCTGCTACTCTCTGTGAATACAATTTTGCATTGTTTCTAGAATGTTCCCCACAGGCAGGTATTGCTTTATAATAGGCGAGGGGGAGAGAAACAGGTTGGAAAGTCAGGAGGGCACAGCACGCCCTGTCCCTGTGCTAATATTTCAGCCTGGGGCCCCCGGCGCCCTCACCTCTTGCTTGTGGGCCTTGTCCTGCAGGTGGATGCCGTTGGCGGAGGCGGAGCTGCCCGCGGTCTGCGAGGCGCAGGGAAAGGGACTGAGCCGGGTACGCCAAGGCCGCAGTCCCAAAGGCGGCCACGAGGTGGCGGGCACGTACCGCAGGCTCCACCCCCGCCCCCCAGGGACCCCGACCGCACCCCCGGCCCCGCCTCCCTTCCGGCTCACTCACCTGAGCCCCGCCACCCCGCAGCGCCTCCACCAGAGCCTCCACGCGCTGCGCCTGCTCCAGCGAGGCCCGCAGCGCGTCCTCCGTGCCCGCCAGCTGACGCTGCAGCCGCTGCAGCTCGGGCGCCGCCGCGGGGTCGATGAGCGAGTAGCGCCGCTGCTCCGGGCCCTTGTCCTTCTCCTTGTCCTGGGGGGTGGTGTCAGGGCAGCCCGGTGCGTCCGCATGCCTCCTGCTCCCACCTGCCTAACCCAGGGACCCGACCCGACTTCCCAGCTCCACCTTGCCCACTCCGCAAATCCAGCACGCAGAGCCCTGGCCTCCCTAGATACGCCTGTGGCTCCCCAGGTTAGGGCCCGAAGGAGTACCTGCGGGTTTCCGGCTGATTAACTCCCTGGTCGGGGAGCTCACGACCTGGGGGCCCTCTAGCGCCCAACAGGACATACCACTGACAGGCTCCCCTGTGTGCTGCATAGCCCCCGCCACCCTGCGATGCCAGGGCACTTCCAGTCCCCACTGTGGCTCAGCTGTGCTGGGGGACCCCAGGGGGGCGTTGGTCTCTGCGTACCAGCCCAGTCAGCTTCTCACGCAGGCCCCGGATGTCGTCCTTAAGCTTCTGTTCCTTGAGCCGCCACTCAGCCTTGTGCACCTCGCGGCTCAGCTCGCGCTCCGGCCCCTGCGCGTGTCGAGTGGACTCCAACAGCAGTACACGCAGCTCGTTCAGGCTCCTGGCGGTCAGGGCACAGGGTCAGCCCTGGGTCCCACACAGTGCGACGCCACCCAAGGTGACACCAGCCTCGCACAAGCCAGAAGAGGAAGCAGGGATACGTGGGATTTCACAGATCTCGCCAGTTACTGGGCTTTATTTTTAACTTTTTTGTGGTACTGGGGATCAAACTCGGGACCCTGTGCTTGTGAGGTATCTCCCTGGCCCTCTTTAATTTTTTATCTTTTATTTATTTCATCATTTGGTTCAGGGTCTCACTATGCAGCTCAGACTTAAAGTGACCTTCCTGTTTCAGCCTCCCCAGTGCTGGGATTACAGGTCTGCACTACCAAAGCTGGTCTTGCTGACTGGCTAGGTGCCCCTGGGGTGGGGCTGGCACAGCATGTGGTACCAGGAATCAAACCTGGGTCCTGACCTTGCCAGGCAGTCACTTACACTACCCAGCCATCTCCCTAGTGCTGTTTTTATGTTGTTGTTGTTTGTTTTTTTGTTTTTTTTTCTGAGACAGGGTCTCACTATGCAGTTCAGGCTGGCGTTGAACTCACTGTGTAGCCCAGGCTGGCCTCAAGCTCAGCGATCTTCCTGCCTCAGCCTTCAAAATGATGGGCTCATACAGGGACCCCACCATGCTCAGTTGGCTTATTATTTTTAAATGGATTCAGAAAGACTTTAGAAGTTTTCCCTGTCAATTTCTAACATGATCAATGCGACCTAGACAAAAGCTCCTGGGAATGATGATTTTTATATGAAATCTAAATGGCTCTCTGGGACAAGGTTAGGAAAGCACTGGTCTTCCCTATAAACTCTGTGCAGAGAATTGTGTTCAAAAGAACTCTGAGGCCAGGTGCTTGACTCACACCTGTAATCCCAGTTACTCAGGAGGGTGAGGCAGGAGGATGGCAAGTTCAGCCCAACCTGGGCCACTTGTCCACCGACATAGCGAGACCCTGTCTCAAAATAAAAATAAGAAAAGAGCTAGGGGGTGGAGCTCAGGGATCCAGGGTTCAGCGGAGGCACAGGGTAGGGCTGGGGCACTGCCACCCGGTCTGCGGACTGGCCAGGGGTAGGACTCGGTTTGCTCACCGCTCCTTGCGCAGTAGCTCCTGGCTGATCAGCAGCAGCTGCCCAGAGGCATCGTGAGTCCTGCGGGACACGGCCTCCAGCTCGGCCTCCAGGCGCCGCTTCTCCTTCAGCAGGGCCTCCACCTTCTTCTCCCCAGACTTGCACTTGCTCTCCAGTGCTGGGCGGGGCAGGGTGGGGAGCACAGGGTTGGGCTGCTGCATCCTATCACCCAGGGCCCAGGCTGGCCTTGCCCAGGGTGTGACAACATGCCCGCCCCTGCCCCTCCCTGCTCCTCCTTCTTTCCTTTTTTTCTCTTTCTGACAGAGGGTCTCACTACGTAATCCAGGGGATCCTCCTGCCTCAGCCTCCCCATTGCTGGGATTGCAGGCCTCAAGGGTCTCTGTAGCCAGCACTGGGCCCTGAGGGGGATGCAGAGTATGGACCAGGAGGAGCCAGGTCTGCCATGGCCCTGAGGGGTGAGGTCCTCTGACCTTTGGTAGGACCAATTAGGCCACAGAAGGTGACAGAAGAGGGCAGGAGCACCCTGGGGGTGGGACACCATCTCAGGGATACCAGGACACCACGGCTGGCCTCTGGCAGGCACTAGCAGAGCTGGTTTGTCCCAGGGTCACTAATGCCACAGCCCCTGCCTTTCCTGGGCTGCCTGACCTGGTGACCTGCTCCGTGCCATGCTACAGCCTGTCCCTGACTCCGAAGTCTCCCCCTGCATCCACTAGATGGGGACAGCGCATCAAAGCGGCCTGGAAGAGCTGGGTGCGGTGCTGCTCGCCCGTCATCCTGGTACTCTGGGAGGTCGAGGCAGGAGAAATGCCAGTTTGTGTCCAGCTTGGGCAATTAGGGAGACCTCATCTCAAGTGGCTCCGGAGAAACCAGGCTTCAGAACAGAAAACCTGGGCTTGGACCTCCGGCCCAGGGACACCCCCAGGGGAGACTTACCACTTACTTGGGCCCTGAGCACCTCCGTCTGGGATGTCAAGGCTGTCACCTCTTTGTCCCTCTTGTTCAGCTTGTCCTGCAGGCCTGGAGGAGGGAAGCCATCAACACTCTTAATTGGGGGACCAATGTGTGGGGGACCCTGCTACAGGAGCCCTGAAAGGGGCACCCATGAGGCCCTCAGGGTCTCTGTCCTTCCTCCTACCAGCCCCGATGGCCACCCTGGGCGGGGGACCTGGCCTTTGTGGTCTTAGGGAACTTGACTATCACCACCCTGGTGTCCTCAAGTGATAGAACAGGATTTCTGATAACCATACCAGTCGAGTGTGGTGGTGCACGCCTGTCATCCCAGCACTCTGGGAGGCTGAGGCAGGAGGACTTCAGTCTGAGCCCCGCCTGGACAACTAAACCACAAGGATGTGTGGGGCCAGCCTGGGCTACACAGCAAGAGCCTGTCTCAAACAAACCAAACTAAAAGAAAAAAAAAAAAAAATGCACGGCACCCTTGGCCACTAGACAGACAAGTCAAAGGTAAAGCCCCTAAGCAGAGTGGTTCTGTGAGTGTCCATATATAAAGAGCTTCTAGAACTCAGTGACAGCGTCTGCAATGTAGTTCAGTGGCACAGTGCCTGCCTGGCAAGCACAAGGTCCTGAGTTCAATTCCTGGTTCAAAAAAAAAAAAAACAACCTAGGAAGAAACAATAAGCATTGGGCCTAGAAAGAGCTCAGTTTGTTCACAGCAGGAGAAAGTGAGTCAAAGCTGTGAGAGACACATTTCTGAGGGCTACAATCCCTGAGTCCCGTGAAACTCCTGTTAGGAAGCTGGGGCTGGGGCACATTCAGCTGAGGGGAGCTGACAATGGTCAGGCCCCACGGAGGCTGATTGACTGAACCAGCAACACAGGTTTGAAATTACTCAAGGCTTGAAACTACCTAAGGCTTGAAGCTACTCAAGATAGGGGCCAGGAAGATGGCTCAGTGGAATAAGCGCTTCCCTGGCAAGCACAAGGGCCTGAGTTCAATCCCCGGGTCTGCAAAAAAAAAAACTACTTGAAATTATGAGTGGACAGTTGGGTAAAAACATCAATACAGCCTCACCCTCACACTCTGGTGTGTTCTGCACAGTACGAGGCAGCAAACAGAACAGCCTCCAAGACGCAGTGGGGGTTCTGTTTAGTTTTGGAGTGCTGGGGGTGAAACGTAGGGCCTCATGCATGAAGACACGGATGTTGCATGTTCAGCAAAGAAAGTTTGGGGAAAACTGGGTGTGGTTGGTGCCTGCCTGTAATCCCAGCACTGAGGAGGCTGAGGCAGGAGGACTGTTGTGAGTTTGAAACCAGCATGGGCTACATAATGACATCAAGGCCAGCCTGAACTGCATAGTGAAACTCTGTCTCAAACAGCAACTAAAATAAAATACTGCTTAGGCAGAGTGAAGTGGCTGGGTTTGATCCCGAG